TTTTTTCCTCGGTGTCAGAGGTACTCGGCGGTGTCTCTGTGTAGCATCACCACGGAGGTCCTGAAGGTTTTGAATGCCACTGAGGAGCTGCTGCTGCAGGGGGGAGGAGACGGCCCCCCACCCTGCACCCCGCTGCCCCCCCACACCGACCCCAAGAAACTGGACCAGCAGTTCTCCAGACTGGAGGAGAACGTAAGATCAGCTTTTTATATGTATTCACTGCAGATGGCTCTGTTTGAAGAGTGTGAAGCTACTGATGACACGTTTCAGTTGAAGCTGTTAATGCACAAATCGGTCATTATTGAAGAAACTAACTTAATATTTGAAATCAACTGCAACAAAGTATGTTGTAAAACCTTTTTATAAATATATGTGTCGCTATAGTATGTTCTTACATAATTTTTATTAAAATTTGCCATGGGCTACTAAGTTGACTTTCCTAGAAAAACACAATATATAAACGGGTTTAATTCAGATAATTACATATGTTTCCAATTTAAAAGACCAAGTTTAGCAGTTATTGTTGTGTTAACCTGGACGTGCTGCAGGCAGGGGCGCCGTAATGGGGTGAAAAGTTAGGACGATTCTAAGGGCCCGTGACTGACAGGGGCCCAAACAATTTTAGAACATTAAGGAAAAAAAATGTAAGTAACCAATGTGATCATCTTTTCATGGGGCCCAAAATCCCTGGCTGCAGGTGTACGTGGCGGCTGGAGAGGTGTTCAGTCTGGAGGCGGAGCTTGGAGACCTGGAGGAGGTCGCCCGCGCCGTCTGCAGCGACACGCCCGGCCTGGAGCTCAGCTTCCTGGAGGAGCAGGTCGCCTCGGCCGCCGCCAGGGTGCAGCAGTCTGAGCTGCAGGTGGGTCCATGTGTGACTCTGTTTTTAGCTGAACATTGTATATTAAAGGTCCCCTATTACACTGTTGTTCATCAACATATTATAGGTCTCAGATATATACAAAACATGTCTCTGAAGTGTTTGGCTCCAAACACCAATCAGATCATTGCAGCATCCCATAATCCCCTCTGTTTCAGCCCTGTTTCAAAAGTGCTGATTCTCTGTCTGTTACTTTAGATGAAAATAAGGAGCCCCCTCCCCACGCCCCTCTGAGAGACATCTGGTTAAAAAGAACACAATGGTGCTCTACGAGGAGATTCAGGCGATAAAGGGGGGGGGGGGGGGGGGGGTTACCTTGGTTGGTGATTGGCTAATGGTTACACAAGCCAGAAAAATCGTTATGACATCATAAAGTGGCCAAAATCTGATCAGCTCATTTTCAGACAGGTTTTTATATAAATGGATCAGGACAAAAAGTGAGAGAATCATTTTTTATGAAACTTTTAGAATCTCTTTACACAGAGGGGACACATGTTGATGTATAAAATACATTAAAAAGTGGATTTTGCATATTAGGTTACCTTTAAATACTTACTGCCATGTTTGGGAGCTGTGTGAAAAGTTAATGAAACACAGATCGGCCTCATGGGGGCGCTGTAGTCAAAGGTTTCATATTGGAAAGACAACCGTAACAACATCTGTGTGATCTTAATCAAACATGTTTCTGTTGTTCCTGCTTCAGATTTCTGACATCTCGGCCAGAATTGCTGCTCTGAAGAGTGCGGGCCTGAATGTGGAGACACAGCAGGCCCGCTTCACCAAGACCCGGGCTGTTCCATTTATGGTACATCTATATTAAATTATTATCATCTCCTATTAACCCTCCTGTTGTCTTCGGGTCAAATCTGACCGATTTACTAATTTCATCAATCATAACTTTTGATTGCATTAAGGCTTTATGATATCCTTCACAGTAGACATTTGAACATATACAATTGCTGATCACCACTTTCATTACAGTTTGGATGATTTAGTAAACTTTGTAACACCCATGGTGTTCCCGGTCAAAAATTACCGCCATAAAGAAAAGGTAACCATCCGGATCAGACAAAAAAAACACACACGCAAACACCCACACCCACACACAAACTCTAGATGTTTGTGTGTGTGTCCCCCCCCCTTATGTGCCCAATCCCCCCATGTGAATCACACCTGGCACACGCAATACATGTTCAGTGTCTATTCTTTGTATATTTACTGCAGTTTTTCATGTATACCAGTAGTCTGATACAATATTTACAGTTTGAAAGGGTGTTAAATGAAATGTGGTGATGATTAATGGTTTTTGTGTTAATGTAATAGCAGTTAAAACAGGACCGGGTCATTTCTAGCATTCGGTGCCGTTTCAGCTAGGGTATTCAAAAATAAAAACATAATTTTCCATGTTTTTTAAAATTAATCTGAATGATGGCTTGTTAAAGTATAAGAAAAATATTTTGGTCAAGCTTAGGATATTATGCTTACATTTATTTATTTTTTACCATCCCCAGTTACTGTGTGTGCACCCTGTTACTGTGAAAAATAGTAACAGGGTGGACGGTAACAGGGTGGACATTTTAGGCTAAACTTGGCTATTGCTACATGTGTGATGATAATCAAGCTAGCACTTGGTGACAACAGAAACATATATTTGATAGATATATTCACCATATTTTCTAAATGTAAAACAAATGATCAGTTCCACTAAAAATGAGCATAACAGGGTGGACATTTTATGCTTTACCGCAATAGTTAAGTTCTTTAAAACATTAGAAAAACGTTGAAGGAAGAACGCATTCACTCTGCTTCTGGAAGATTATTTCCCACTCAAAATGTATCCTTCTTCTTCTTGAGTCATTCAAATCAGAGTAACAGGGGGGACATTCAAACAGGGGACACACACTTTATTTTCAATACAAATGAATTAATAACAACAATTTCAATTTGGTGAGGATAATTAGCAAAAGGGTCATACAACACTCACAAAAATGTAGAATTTGTTTGTATTTCTTTGATTTATTTTTGTATATCTGTTACAGAAGTTGAGCAAACATGATTGGGGACACAGCAATTTGGCCTACTTGTGCTAAAATCAGAGTAATTATTTATAATTTTTAATATCCTGGCTAAATAACATTGTTGTTTTATGGTAGAGGGTATAAACATTTAAAACCAAGCTTTTTAAAAAAAAGCATTAGACCTTTTTAAATACAAAATATATGATATAATGTGGTGGGGACCTAAATGGCACCGAATGCTAGGAATGACCCGACCGGTCAAATTTGACCGCGAACACCGCGGGGAAACGAAGACCATAGGATTAGGGTTAAGTACCACAACATTGTCAAACAGCTCGGGCAAGAATTCAAACTGGTGTTGTGTCTTGTGTGTTTGCAGCCGGTCACTGTGGACTCATCGAGGCAGCAGAGAAGGAGACTTCCTGCTCCACCTGTCAAAGGTAGGAGTGTGTAATAATTATAGGAAACCTACTGCCTGTGTGATGCAATACATATGAATTGTCTCAATTCATGTTTTTGTAGATGGTGTAAAAGAATTAACATACCTATATGTTCCATACTAGCAGGATCAAATATATTTAACTTGGATGGTTTAAGAGTGTTTTTAGATTAACATTTTACTACAGATTTTTTTTGGTTTGCATACTAACTGTTGTGAATATACTTAAATGTAACGTTCGGTATGGGAAATATTTGTATGCAGTTATACTGTAGTCTCATTATTGAATCTTTGGAGACACAAAACTAATTATAAGACGTACTTGTCCAAACATTTTTATACAAAGATGCATTAATAACCAGCCGCTGCTTTTGTTTATCTCAACACCATAACATTGAAAAGAAACAAGAGATACAGGTGTAGTTGAGACAAAAATGTGTTCAATATGCAGGGATGTATTTGTATTTGAAATTACATTTAAATTAATGCATAATTTGATTTTTCCTGCCTTTTGTTTGATCTCTCTCTCAGAGGAAAACTAAGTGTCTGAGCGAGACGTCAGCAGTGCCTTCGCCTGCTCCTGCAGGACAGCGTGCCTTCATTTATTTCATTTAGACTAACATGCCTCAAATAACACAGGATCAGCGCTGTGTGTCTCTGAAACTGTTTATCCTGTCAACTGTTCAACATGTACAGTAGACATATCTACCGTATAACATTTGAGTTAATCTGGTGAAGAGGAGAGGGTTAACCCTTCAGCTCGGCAGAAAGTTACTAACATTTGTCTTTTAAAACTCTTTTATTTCCACAAAGTGGGATAAAACTGAAATGATTACACTAGTGTATTACAGCAGAGGACAAGAAATCTTGTTTTAATGAAAATATTTTATTTAGATTCATTTTTAACATCAGTAGTAGTCCATTTACCTTGCTGATGAAAACAGCTATACAAACATTGTATAATGACCGAAAAGAAACTGAAGTGATCGTTTAAAACCTGCATTTACACCATTTTTACTGTTATACCACAAATATACAGATACATGGGAAATAATGACAAGTATTGCTGCTAGACTGTATCATGTATAAAATAAATATTGATATGTATGTTTGAAATGTTGTGATGTACAGCAAACCAATCAGTATGTTTTCTGCCTCTTACTTAGTTCAGAAAATAAAGTAAACTCTAAAAAGACCCTTTGCCTTACTGTATGAATGTGTCTCTCCGAGGTAAACAGCAGTGAGACGCTGTGCTCCGGTGAAGGTGGGTGTAATGGTGAGGAATGTAGCCTGTATTTTTGAGATGAGGATGTGACACCCGAACATGAGATTCCTGCTTGTGAAGAAGGTGTGGGAACGACACATATATAACAGACGTCTTTCAGAAAGAAATGGTCTGAAAACAAACATCCAGCGGCGTCACCTCTGACGCCGCAGTAAACACGAACGAGTGACCTGAGAAAAGTAAATGTAGTTCTTATGTATTAAATACTCTCATGGTTTATCAGATGTGAAGCAAAGTGAGAATACATTATTCTGTCCTTGCTGTTTCCTCATGGAGGTTCGGTGTTTTTCTCTTTTAATGCTCAAATGAGGAAAATAATAAGTCTCCCTCACATAGTGATCCAGCTCTGTCCCAAAGCCTTCTGGGATACGTAGTTTTGGGTCAGGAGCTCTCTGACACTAAGAAGCGCTCCCTCTGGTCGGGAACTATGAATCCTTCTTTCTGCTCGCTCTCTCTTCGGTCCGACATCACGAACGACTGTTTGTGGTCGATGACGGCCGCGCTGTCTTTGTCCGGAGCCTCGACCTCAGCGTAGGAGGGGTGGCCGGACCCCCGTCTGAACTTCATGATGGGCCAGCGGGTGGGCCGCCGCTGAGGGGGAACAAACAATGGAGAAATTAGCAAAAACACATGGGTTTGTTCAAGGATTACTTCGACATAATATATAGAAAACCTTTGCAGACCAGAACATAGAACTATATACCCTTCATGTATTTAAACGTATTGGAATGAGAGGTGTTTTTCTGCACTGCAGAACGTCCCTACAACATCTTCCACAGTACATTGCACTATTATAAATAATATAATAACTTTTTAGGCCAAGAGAGCCTTTTGAATGTTATAATAAAACTCATAAAAGGCATATTTTGTATTTAACTTACATAGAAGGGTGCAGAGGAAGTGTGTCATTGCTTCAGTTTTGTGGTTTTGGGGTCACTGACCTCCATGAAGAAGAGGCTGGCCCTGCAGGTGGGGTGGGTGTACATGTAGACGGACATGAAGACAGCAGCTCCCATAATAACTATCACCATGACGATACCCGCCAGCAGCCCAGTCTGCAGCTGCTCGTCGCTCTCTGCGGGGGGGTCCTGGTGTCGGGCTGTACAGAGAGGGTTTATAGGTTATGGACTTGGACGATGTGCATCTCCTCGTCAAGAGAACTCAATACAATTGGTCTTAAAGAAGCTCATGCAGATATTTCAGCGCTGGAAACATAAATAGTTCACACGTTGTGGCTTTAACTATCAGGTCAAATGCAAATATTTACATTTTGACTTAAGTTTTGCTTGAAAACTGCTAAAAATAATTACCAAAATGTCGATCAGACACATAGCAGGGGAATTACTTACCTGCTTCATTGATGTGCAGAGAGATCTTTGTGTCATCTAGAGAAAGAAAGCAAACATAAGGTCATTAATCATACATGTAGCAGCATCTTTTGACTCAAATGTAATTAAGCTTTTTCAGGCGGTACAGAAGTACTAAACTTTACTATTCTGAATTTGTAATGAGACACTGCTACACTACGAACCGTTGTGGTAGGTCCCCAAAAAGTGTGCGGCCATTTGCAAAGAATTTGAAGTAAATCTTTACGAAACATCCATATTTGATGTTTTCTTACATCTGTTTTATTGTGTTGCGCTGTTGGAGGAGCCTGTGACCTAATATGTTCATTGTGACTACACGGTAGCTATGCACACATGACAATAAAAGCCTTGCATCTTGAATATTCTAGTTTTTCAAAGATGTTTTGGGATCAACTTTGGGACTTGTTTTTTTCAGAATAAAAATCAAGAGCTAAAAGACAACTAAAGTCTGAGTGCTTTATAGAGTGGGACGTTGCAGCCGTCCTATACTCTGCAGAGACGCACACATACATCGAGTCATCCTTCAGCAGCTGAGGACACTATGCAGTATTTAACATGGCGCTGTGACAGAGGGCTGGGAAATATCTGACCAGTTGACCCTCTGACTGTCAGCCTTTACACAATGCACTGTGTTACCATGCACAGACAACAAGGGTGAACTCTAGATGGGAAGGACACCCCCCCACCCCCCCCGAGCTGAAATCTGTAACTTTAACTGTAATGACTTTTCTTACGTTTACATTACATGACTGTAAAACCCCTGATGTGCAATAACACTACCTGTACATACAAAACGTACCCTCGTGCCATTCACCCTTTATTTGTTCTTTCAACTTGTTTACAATCGGCAAACGGCACCAGCTACCTCTTTAATTTGATATGGTCCCTTTTTTTTAACCATTGTGTACTTATCTGCTATTTATTTTTGTTACTGATTGTGTTTTTTATTAGTAAAAACGTGTGCATACTTAGTTATTATTATTTGTTTATATGTAAGTCTATTCTCTTTACTTTATCTGCACTATCTGCTGTTGTAAAAATGTACATTTCCCTATCAATATGTATATATGACCCAATATGTATATATGTTCATTTTAATGAATTTCTTATTTTATAGTTATTTTGTCATTTTTAATTTCTATCTTTGATTTTATCTTTAATTGTATTAATCTGTTTTAATCTGTGCTCCATCATGTTAAGCAATCAAAACAAGGACTATTAAAAGTAGTGGTAGGACTTTCTAAGTAACACACGTTGTTTACTAGATGGCTGAAAGCATGCTGTCAGCTGACCTTCTGCAGCTCTGCTGGTTGGAGGCTGCTCACTGGATATTATTTCTCTGCTCTTGCTGCTGCGTGTTGGTGGGCGGGTGGTGGGGGACGTCCTGCGGGGGGGGGCGGGGGGCGTGCTGGAGGTCCTCTGATGCATCGCGGTCGTCATGACAGCAGCGGTCGTATGTGGGAGTTGGCGAGACGAGGTGTTGCTGACGTCTGTGAGCCGGAGGCAGGGGGGATCTCTCCTCTGGAAAACAAACGGTTGTAAACTCAGACACAAGTTTCAACTAAATTTGACTTTCTGTAGTTTTATTAAAATGCTAGAATAATCCGAACCTCTTCCGGGCAGCCGAGGTCGACCCAGTTCTGCCGGTTACGATCAAAGCCGCTGGAGCATCTGAGAAAGGAAGTAGATATTAATACGTACACGAGCTGTGATTTCAGGGTCAAGACAAAGTGTTTACGGGACAAATCTCAATAAAGCTTTATCACAACCAAAAATGTAATGTTTCTTTACATATCTATCTCCAATTGAATAGCTCCACATGTAGTAAAGCAAGAGAGAAACAGGGCTTACATAAATTGGTCCCTACCTAAAGGGTATGTCCATATTTGTCTCAGGTATATCCCAGTACTACAGCCACCTGCTCCTCGTTGAAAAGCTGTTTGTTATGGCTGCAAGGACACACTTTGCCAAAACTATTTTAATGTATCTGCGTTCCTCATTTTGAGAGAATTCAGCCAAGCTGAAGTGAGGCTTCTGAGTTCATCTGATCAAGTGCGTATCTTCCTGACTTTATATATACCAAAAAGGACATTGAGAGATCTAATGAATCCCTTAGATGGAAATCCCTTTAGGAAGGGAGCTTTGCTGCCAGTACAGACGAGAAGAGCATGTGCAGCAGTAACTTCAATACAAGAGACGTGTGTATATATATATATATATATATATATTTATAAAACGGACAAGTCAAATCAAGCAATCTGATTGGTTCTTAGCCGTGATATACTGAGCGTATACCACGGGTAGAATTGTAGTTACTTTTCACAACAAGTCAGTATCCCTCCGCGTCTGAGAAAAACTGTATACAGTTGGGCTGAAAAGCAAACTGCCTGCACTTTGCTTTTCGTCGGGCCGAACCCCTTAGCTGTGATATACTGAGCATT